TATATATATATATATATATAACAACAGCATCCATCTATGAAGAATGTACGCTGTCAATCATACACAACGATTAGCCAATCATAACAGTGGGCATTTACTTCCAAGTCTACAATCCGCCAAGCCTATTCAAACAGAGTTCTGATGAGGGGCGTCAAAGCAGGACAGAAAATAGCCTATTACTTCTAAATTATGATGTTTTTGATGTAAAAATCTTGATAACATTATAAGTGGACCTCAGAGAACAGTACAAAATAAAAAAAACAAAGGCAGTTCATGACCCCTTTACAAGAAGAGCATTTATATTTATATAATTATAATTTATTATTTAACATTATAAAACTGCCACTTTTCTTTAATTTAATGCATTTAATTTCAAAATTAATTTATTTTTAATGGAAAATTATGGATTTTTTTTTTTTTGTCTTTGTATGATTTTGTCTTTGTTTTGCATTGCTTCCCCTTTAACAAATTAAGAAGAGGTGATCATATTATGAAACTGGTCAAATGGTGATCTTACCCTCCTCTGTCTCTCGGTCCCGTCTCTGAAGCATCTGTTGTTCTGGAGGCAGGGCCTGCTGTAGAAGCTGCATGTAGAACTCATTTTCCTTCTGCACCTCCTTTTGTTTGCGCAGACGCATCTTATAGCTCACATAACTCTTGAATCCGAAGCCCAGCGTCACCACGGGATAGCCAATGCTGCAATGAAAGAACAGAACAGCATGTTACAGAAAACAGAAAAAAACATGATTGGTACAACTAGTGATGACTCAACATCAGACACCTTCAGATAATGGCAACACTCCCATTTGCTGCTATGGAGACGCCACCAGTGTGTTTACAAATACAAAGCTGACTGCTGCGTTATAAGTAGTACAGTTACATCAGCTATGTTTAATAATCAAAAATCGGCGAAGAATACTGTGGTGACTTTGCGCTTGAAGAGATAATTCACCCAAAATGCCAAAACCTTCTTTTTTACATGGAACTCAAAAGGATGCATTATGAGTGAAGCTAGTGAGTTTTTGCTTTTTATTGTTTGGAAAAGAATAGCATGAACAGTTCAGAATTTCTCCTCTTTTGTTGCATAACAGAAAGTAGATCATACAGGTTTGCAATGACATGGGGGTGAGTAAAATGCAAGCAAAGCTTACCAGTGAGCTGCGAATGGACGGCAAAGGTCTACATGAAAATGTTTCGAATCCTTGAAGCGTATGGCTGCTTCGATGTAGACGAAGAGAATCCAGAGAGAGACAGTCGGCAGACACACACCTCGTTCTGATAATAGAACGAGAGAGAGGGAAAACTATGTATAATGTTCAACAATTGATCTCTAGCCTCCTGTAATAGTTATGACATTCTTACGGCATGCATAATTCTTCAAACTATAATGACTTCTAGCCCATTAGTGACCTAGACATCCAAGAGATTGCATAAAAGGCCACTGGCTGTTTGGGAGATCAATAACATCACACAGGTTTCACAAAACAAGCTCTAGGCTGCAAACAAAACCCTAGTTTGCTGAAAGCACCCTCTCTTGTTTAGACGCACAGCCAGTTGTGTGTCAGCAGGAGCAATCACAGTCACAGCTCAAGGCGCATTGAAGCAGTTTTCAAGAAACAATCACTCAGTGTCAGCAATTCTTTTCCTCCTCTATCCTGAGGTATCACTGAATCGACCCAAGAACAGGACATATAATGACAGGAGCACTTGAAAATCCATCAAAGATCTCTGCTGTTCACTCAGAGTTCAAATACAAGAGCAGGGTAAATCTCTACATGGATGCATATACAGTATATTCTGCAAGTATGCATTAAATTGATCAAAAGTGACAGTAAAGACATTTCTAATGCAAAGATTTCTACTTCAAATGCCGTTTTCTATTTTCTATTCAAAGAATTTCTGAAAAAAGGAATTTTGAGAACCGTTTACAAGATTGATAATAATCAGAAATTTTTATTGAGCAGCAAATCGGCATATTAGAATGATTTCTGAAGGATCATGTGACATTGAAGGCTGAAGTAATGATGCTAAAAATCAGCATTGATATAACAGGAATAAACGTCATTTTAAATATATATTCAGATAGAAAATTATTTTAAATTGTAATATTATTTCATAAGATCCCTGTCTTACTGTATGTTTGATCAAGTTGAGACATTTCAAAAACAAAAACAAAAAAAAAACACTTTTGAATAAACTATGAATACATTAACTATGATGTCAATCACCAATAAGTGCTTTGGAAAAAAAAAAAATCCCACATGCTCATATTTTTCTTTTATGCAATCATCAAACACATTCAAGATAAAGGAATATCCAGAGAGAACTAAATGCTATCGTTTGCATAAGAAAAGCGCTTTCAACATCACCCTCTCTAGTAACTGCTATAAAAGTGAACAGTTGCGTAATATGCTCCTGAATTACGCCACTGAATAATCAGCGACAAAGGCTTTAGGTGTTTACACGCTAGCAAAACTTCTGACAGAGCATTTCGTGGACAGACATGTGGAATAAACTGGGACAGTTTGAAATCAAACAAGAAAACAGTCAACTGGGTTTCTGAAAGCACAAGTCTGAAGTTTTCATTGGTCAATGGAAGCCTAAGGCAGATTGTGCAACTTTCGGTTACATGATAGAGCATTGCTTTCACAAAATCATTTCTCCTATGTGTTCTCTAAAATTCAATCAACTCTACAGTGTGTAAGCGGCCTTGCTCCTAAAATGATACTCATGGAAAGTCAGATGGGGCTTGGGTGATGTTGACCTACCTGTATGCCACACGTACTGTACCCAGACATAAGTGCTGGCGGCGAAGAACAGCCATTGCTTGGGGATGAACAGGAGGCAGATGATGTCTGATGTGAATGCGACACACACAAAGAACACAGAGAACGCCTGTGGAATCAGACGAGAAGTGTAGAGATGATCGATTTAGCCTGTGTAGAGCACGTCACTCAGAGACGTTTATAAAACTGACTGATAAAGAATCAAGCAGAGAGTGAGCCAATAACTGCTCAATTACACATCAATGAGAGGTCAAATACTCACCAGTCCCTGATATCTAAAGGAATCGTAAACGCTCCTGATGAAAAGCCAGAAAGGCCACAGGTACTCGAACCTGAACTCCAGCACAAAATCAGCCAGCAGAACCAGCGCCCAAACGACCAGGAACTTCAGGTACAGGAAGGTACTGCCAGATCAAGAGAAATCAGAAGAATCATAAAAAATCATTATTGAAATCTTATGCAAACCCTTTTTATAAATGAATTTTGATTATTTTTCCAGCTGTCCATAGTGCATGCATGTAAGCACTTTTAAAATAATTTCTAGGGAGGATTTCTATTAATATATCAGGTATGAATTTCATTTAAATGCAATAAAAATAAATAAATTATTATAAATTATTTAATTTCCATTATGTTACATATATTTGTGTGCAAAAGTCATTTTATAAAGTAGTCTGCTTCTGTGAGCATCCATAACCACATAAATTTGCATTCACTAAATCACTATAGGCATTTCCATGACTATTCTATGTTTTTTTCCCCCTGACATTTTTAACTACGGGAACCCCATATGTGACCCTGGAGCACAAAAGCAGTCATAAGTTACACAGGTATATTTGTAGCAATAGCCAACAAATACATTGTATGGGTCAAAATTATCTATATTTCTTTTATGCCATAAATCATTAGGATATTAAGTAAAGATCATGTTCCATGAAGATATTTTGTAAATTTCCTACCATAAATATATCAAAACTTAATTTTTGATTAGTAATATGCATTGCTAAGAACTTAATTTGGACAACTTTAAAGGCAATTTTCTCAATATTTTGATTTTTTTTTTTTTGCACCCTCAGGTTCCAGATTTTCAAATAGTTGTATCTCGGACAAATATTGTCCTAACAAATCATACATCAATGGAAAGCTTATTTATTCAGCTTTCAGATTATGGCTGGTTTTGTGGTCCAGGGTCACATATATAAAAACTATTCAAATATACTCAGCCAATGAGGTCTTGGCAGAGCAGATCTTGGTAGTGTTTAGACACACTCATTTTTTCAGATGGGCCTGGGTCAACACAGCGTCATGTGGAATTAACCAAAACTAGAAGGATTAAGTTGCACAGGGTTTAATCTAAACATTTCTAGAACAAGAAGAGTCTAAAATCAACCAGTTTGTATAGGATTACCTTCATTACAATAACCCAACACATGTGGAAAACAGTGTAGATGGCAGAAACGTTTCAATAATGTGACACCAACATAAGACATCTCAATGCCCTACTGTAAGATCCAGCTGAAGCTTTGTAGTTATTTTCTTGGTTGACCAGCAACAATCCAGCTACCAGTTGGTCAAGCTGTTTTTGTATTGTAGCTGGTTGAGCAGCCAATGACCAGCTACCATGATCCAAAACACATTTGCACAAGCTGGATATTGTGATGATGGCTATAAAAGACAACTGCATAAGAACATTCATGACATGGCCAGTACTATGTGTAAAACTTGTTATTTCATATTCTGCACTATTGAAGCCTATGGATGATACACAGAAGCCAGCATCCACGTATATGCTACATACTCAGGCCGGAGTGAATGATCACGCTGAACTGTCATCTGTGTCTGACTGTGACAGCTCATAAACGGCCGAGCTCTGTTCGGAGACGCCATTACGGTGCGGTCGGTGCTCGGGAGCTTCTTCGTCCGTACCTGCTGTGAATACCCTCGGTGATTCGGTTCCGTTTCAACGGGCGACGGAGTTTGCTGCAGTCCGCATTGCGCCGCTTCATTCTCCACCCTTTATATTCCAGTAACTTTGAACACTCGAGGGGAAACTACGTGACCGTCCTAATACTGATGCGCATCGCTACGCGAATATGTGACTGTCAGTGTTTTCCTTCCACTAGACACAAAGAAATAAATAAAAACAGTCTGCGTGAGGCCCTCCCATTTTTATTCTGGACGCCTCGTGACGTAACGACGCCGTACGCTCTGCGCTACGTTCCCAAGGCAAGATGGCGGCGTCCTGAGCTGACAACACTTCTGTCTGATTTTCATGTTTATTTTGTGAAGGTAAGTGTTAACATTGACATAACTTGTGAATGTGATGGTTTGTATAATAATACTGAAGTGAAACTGGTGGCATATTGTGCAAACGTGGTGTTTTTAAATAGAACACTTCGGATCACTCCCAACACATGCCTTCAGCCATGCTTGAGCTGGATGAGAAGAAACAAAAACTTGTTAGACATGTCGCGAGAATTAATTATTATTTTAGTAACATTTTTTGAAGTATAAGTTGTGGGTAGGTTGTATCTATGTTTATTGGCAATGTTTGCTTGTGCTATTTTGTAAGTCACTCAGATTAGTAGTGTGGATTTCACAGATCTGATCATGTCAACATTATATTTGCGTTGCATAATGTTGCACACAGTACTCAGTTTTAGTAAAACATTACGTACACAAACTTTTTACTTGCACTTGTGATTGCACTGTTGTGATGTTTAATCATTTGTGTGATTATTTTGCATTTATGTAAATACTTGTTCAGCATTACGGTTGTCTTTAAATGTGCATAAAGTGTTTTAAACTCTTAAAGAAATGTTTTGGTCAATATGTTTAAGATTATGTACACAAAGATCACTGCAATTATGATGCAATATGACCACTGTGCAGTGTGTATTTATTTAATATGTATTAAATTTCTTACATACTGTCACAATTTGCACATACTGTATGTATACAATATCTATAAACATATTATAATAATATGGAAATATATTACCATGTCCACATTCTCACAACAAATGTGGCCAAAAGTCAGAAAAAAATGTAAATTGTACAACTGAAAACACATTTTTACTTTAATAATAATAATAATTTATAATAATAAAAATACAATTATATTTGAAACCTGTGATTTGATACTGAAAACAAGACTTTAAATGTAGCTTTAAAAATTACATTTCTTTCGTTTACAATTACTTTTTTTTTTTTTGTAGTTCAGAATAGCTTAGTCTAGAAAACTTGGGGTCAGTGAGATTTTTTTATTTATTTTATTTTGAAAGAAATGAAAGCGCTCTCTCTACAGCTTTTTTATTTTATTCACCAAAGATGCATTAAATTGTTCAAAAGTGACAGTAAAGACATTTATACTGTTGCAAAATATTTTTTATTCCAGATAAATGATTATTTATCTAAAATAGAAAATGGTGAAAATGTTATTATAATTTAATGTTAAAATGTTTTGATATATTTATAGTGGTAGTATTGCTGTGACAAATTCCTTGTGTTTCTGAGCAAGTAACAGCCCAGTGCTGAAATTAAAAATGTTGAGAAGCATGGCTTAATGAGGATGATGTTAAAACATATGTAAAACATAAAAATAAATAAATAAAAAATCACCTTTCACTAGCGCGTTTACACTACTTGTTGCTTTTCTCATTTCAGTTTTCAGAAAGTACATAAAGATGCCTGCAGTACTGATCCTCAGCAATGAGGTGGTCAAAATGAGGGCGGAGGTTAAAAGGGTGAAGGTGCTCCTCATCCGGAAACTCATCCGTCAGATCTCAGTCCTGGAGAAGAAGAAAGGAAGTGAGGCGGACTTGGAGAAGTTCCGCAGACGAGCGGCCAGACTTCGGGAGGAGATCCATGAGCTGAAGACTATCACGCCTGACAGCGTCACCAAGGCCGCCCTACAGAAGGACATCAGCTTTGAGAAAGTGTGCCGGAATAAAGAGGCTAGCCTATCCGAACGAGCCATTGCCCGCATCGCCACACACCCACAGTTCAGCAAGAAAATCCAGAGCATAAAGGCAGCCATCAAAGCCTTCAAAGAAGAGAGAGTAAATGCAGAAAAACAAGCAAAAAACAATGCAGAAAATGCCACGTCGCTAGATCAGTCACAAGCAGACAGCGATGATGATGATGATTTGGGTTCAGAGAAGTCAAGCGATGAAGATGATGAGGAGAAACTGAAAGAGGATGAGGGTGATAAAAAGACAGATGAAGACAGGCAAGAGGAGATTGATGGTTCCACACAGGAGAGCCAGAAGACGAGTCTAGAGACAATAAATGAACAGACCAATCAGTGCCAAAAGGAAGAATCACTAACAGTTGAGGTAAGTGTATTTCAAGTGGTGTTTGTGAAATATTTTAGTTTAGATCGAGTGCAGGTGAAATTATTAGTCAAAACTATAATTGCCTAATACTTCCCTAATAAAACCCGCTGTATCTAAATATACAATGAAACAATGCTAGTAAAATAATGTTAAATTCATGTTTCACCCAAAATTAATAAGCCTCATGTTGTTCCAAACATGTTGTTATTTTTTCAGTGGAACACAAAATAATTTCTGACGAATCTTTACACAATCTTTTCTCGTCTCTTGAAGTCATATAAGATAGATTTGTGTAGAGAAGAGGCTGATAGTCAATACTCACAGAAAATATTTCCCTCTGCACGCTTTCAAATCAAGTATTCCTCTATTACACGTTGTGTCAGGTTAGATGTGTATCTCAGGACCAAACGTCATTGGCCAAAACCATGCCAACAATGTTACTATAATCTGGCAACACTGTTGATAGATGAGTGCCGTTGTCTAACTAATTCATTTTGCGAGTTGCCATGGCCAATTTCCATATCCACATTCCCACAACAAAATGAGGCCAAAGTAAAAAAAAAACAACAAAAAAACGGAAATTGAAAACCTGAAATTGTAAACCTGAAAATCAGTTTTTGCTTATATGCACCAAAAACAACAAAAAACTGGATATTTGAAACCTGGGATTTTATGTTGAAAACAAGATTTAAACATTTTTTAAATGTTTTTTTTTTCTTTCCCAAAACAAAAAATTATTTTGTTTATATTCACTTTTTTCTAGTTAAGAATAGTTAAATCCAGATACTGCGGAAGAGGATTAGGGCCAAGCAATAATAAAAAAAAATCAAACCATCTCGAGATTAAAGTTATTATAATGTGAGATTAAACTCGTTAATTTTCAAGAAAAATGTCAAAATAAAACGTTGAGAATAAACTCAAGTTTCGAGAATAAAGTCGTTGTGTTTCGAGAAAAAACTTGTTAAATTTAGAGAAAAAAATTCAAAATAAAATGTTGAGAATAAACTCATTAAATTACGAGAAAAAAGTTGAAATCAAATGCTGAGAATAAACACACACACAGTGTAAATATCATCTATAAATACCACATTGCTAAAAATGCTGCTGTTGTCACTTAGTGTAAATAGAATATATCACCATTTTCACTTAGTGTAAATATCATCTATTTTCACTTCGTGTAAATAGCATCCGATGTGATATGTGATGAAAAAAGGAAGAAGAGCGAGTTCGGCAAAAGACTATTATTATTCTCGTAATTTAATGAGTTTATTCTCAACAATTTATTTCGACCTTTTTTTCTCGAAATCTAACGAGTTTTTTCTCGAAACACAATGACTTTTTTTCTCTAAATTTAATGAGTTTATTCTCAACATTTAATTTCGACTTTTTTTCTCGAAATTTAACGAATTTTTTGTCAAAACACAACAACTTTTTTTCTCATAATTTAATATGTTTATTCTCAACATTTTATTTCGACTTTTTTTCTCAAAATTTAACGTGTTAAAAAGTTAACGTTTTTTTCTTGAAACAAAATTACTTTAATCTCGAGATGGTTTTATTTATTTTATTATTGCTTGGCCCTAATCCTCTTCCGTAAGATACACTATCGTTCAAAAGTTTGGGGTCAATAAGATTTGTATTATTATTAAATAAATTATAACTTTTATTCATGAAGGATGCCTTGAATTGAAATGTGACAGTAAACACATTTATTATGTTAAATCTATTTCAAATAGATGTTTTTTTTTTTTACTTTGTATTCATCAAAGAATGCTGAAAAATGCATCATGTTTACCCAAAAATACCTAGCAGCACAACTGTAATATTGATAATAAGAAGAAATATATATTGAGCAGCAAATCAGCATATTACAATGATTTCTGAAGATACTGAAGGCTGGAGTAATGATGCTTCTTTACCATCACAGGAATAAATTACATTTTAATATGTATTCATATAGAAAACTCTTATTTTAAATTGTAGTAATATTTCAGAGTATTACTATTTTTTACTGTTTTTCATCAAATAAATGCAGCCTTTGTGAACAAAGGGACAAACTGAATGGTAGTGTTTATGATTATTCTCATTCAAAGAAAACACTGGATTTAAGCGTCAGAGCCTTAGATTAAAGGGATAGTTCACCCGGAACACAAATTAAGATATTTTTGATGAGTTCTGAGAGCTTTCTAACCCTGCATAGACAGTAATGTATCTAAAATGTGCCCAGGTCCAGAAACGTAGTAAGGATATCGTTAAAATAGTCCATGTGACATCAGTGGTTCAACCGTAACTGTAATAGTAACAACAATTCTGAGAGTACCACAACGCATGCGTACTCTCATGAATGGCGACGGACGGTGATGTGGAGGAGAAGAATTGTTGAACAAAGTCATTATTTTTGTTTTATTTGCACACAAAAAGTATTCTTATAGCTTCATAAAAATACGGTTGAACCACTGATGTCACAAGGACTATTTTAACGATGTCTTTACTATGTTTCTGGGCCTGGGCACATTTCAGATACATTACTGTCTATGCAGGATCAGAAAGCTCTCGGATTTCATCAAAAATATCTTAATTTGTGTTCCGAAGATGAACGAAGGTCTTATGGGTTTGGAACGACATGAAGGTGAGTAATTAATGACAGAATTTTCATTTTTGGGTGAACTATTCCTTTAAGGTTAAACAATTATGATGCAGATAAAATTGTGTGCACAGTGTAAATGAGAACCTCCACAATAAAAATGTTGCAGCTGCTGTTGATTAAAAAAAAATTGCTGGACAGATTTTCTTTGCTCTGCTGAAATTAAACAGATCTGTGACCCTAAAACTGAGGAACATACTTCAGAAATAACATTTTGTGTTTAACTGGAAAACAACAGAATACAGGTTTGGAATGAAGATGAGTAAATAATGAAAGAATGTTCTTTTATAGATGAATTATTCCATTGAAACTAATGCTTTAATTAACTCTTTCTGTAAACAGTATTACAGTGAAGTACTCTTTACTTGAAGGTTATTCTGAAATAAATGCCTCTTACAGGAATCATCTGAAAGAGTGGGCATCCCAGAGGAGGTGATCAGGATGAGGAAGGAAGTGAAGAGGACGAGGGTGCTGATCATCAGTAAAATGGCAGAGCAAGTGGCTTCTCTGAAGAAGAAGAAGAAGGGTCAGGAATCTGAGGTGAAGGAAAGCCAAGAAAAAGCAGCGGAAATCATGAAAGAAATCAAGGCTTTAAGGAGCCTTAAACTGGATCAGGTGACCATGACTGCACTTCAGGAGAATGTTGTCCTTGAGAAGGTTTTGCAGGACCCTCAGGCAAGCCCAGTGGACAGAGCCATTGCACATATCGCCACACATTCCCGCTTCATCCACAAGCTCCAGAAGGTCAAAGAAGCCATCAAAGAAGAAAGAGCTAAGGCTGCTGAAGCTGAGCAGAAGAAGACTGACAAACTGGATACGGTGCAGTCCAAGAATGAAGATGAGGAACCAGAGGAGGAACCTGAGGAAGATGGGGAATCGGAAGAGGAATCTGAGGAACCTGAGGAAGACGAGGAACCAGAGGATGACCACAACAGTGGTCACAGTGAAGAGGATGGTGATGTGGTAGAGGAAAAATTGAACAGTCCTACCACTGAGATCCATACGTCTAGTGTTGCAGAGCCAACAGAAAGTACAGATTCTGATCTTGTAAAGGTGCCACCTTCCAAGATTATCACAACAGAAAAATCTAAAAGGGTCGAAGTTAAATCAAAGAAAGCAGAGGCCACGTCTCCTAATGTCAAAAGTTCTCCTGAAAAGTCTTCAACTGTAAGTAAGAAGAACATTGGTAAAGCAAGCAAAGAAATGGAGACCACCTTAAAGCCACAAAAGAAAAAAGACCTACCTGAGACTAAGAGGGTTGAGGCAGAAAAAGACAAGGAAGAGAGTGATTTATCAGATGAGGAGGAAGAGAAGGAATATTTCGATGACAGCACAGAGGAACGTTTCCATAAGCAGTCGTCTCAATCTGAAGAGAGTGATGATGATGACTTCTTTCTGGGCAAAGTTAGCAAATTCAAGAAACGGAAAAGTAACCAAAGTAAAGTCGAGGAGAAAAAGAGTGAGCTTCAAAAAACTGACAAGGAGGCCACCAGCAAACCTCATGAGACAAACCTTGGCAAATTACAGTCTGTGTTTTGCTCAGCGTTGTCCAAATCTAGCGTGTCCTCTCAGAAAGCAAAGTTTGGCTCTCGCAGTGATGGCCCAAGACCTCCTCGATTCCAGAACCAGAGGAAAGGTCCTGAGGGTAGGATGAAAGCATCTCAATATAAAGGCCAAGACCTTGGCGCTGACAGGAGGACGGGTCCATTCAAACCCAACAGAGAGACTTTTAAAGTTGCTGAACAAAAGCAAGCGGGACCTTCAGGGGCAGGGAGGGGAAGGCCTCAGTTTGAGCAGAAGCGGAATCCCAGAGGTCCACCTGGCAGGATGTCAGACCCACCCCAGCAGTCCCTTCATCCCTCATGGGAGGCTAGCAGGAAGAGAAAGGAACAGCAGGCACAAATCACAGTGTTCCAAGGGAAAAAGATCAGATTTGATGATGATGATGATTAAGAAAAGGCTGCTCAAATTCATTTGATGCATTTATATTTTAAAACTTAAAAATTATTCCTGTTAAACTATTTACTGTGAATTTGTATTAAAACACAGATGTAAACCAGTTGTTCTTTTGATTTGAAATAAAGTCCCTCTTAGTGTTATTTTACTATAATTTCTACAATATTTAATACAATTTAAAATTAGTTTAGTTTCCCTGTCATGGACATATATATATATTACTGTTAAATATGTTTTCATGGCAAAATTAAGATTCTTAAAGGGGTGGATTCCCCAATACGACAGGGTGGACAACCATTCAGGGACATGGACAAACTCTTCTTTTTTATTAAATAAAAATATCGTTTTTATTACCAAATGATCAATATGCTCAAATTGAGTAATCTCTTATTTAACAAAATATTAATAGGAGAACAACATTTTTTTTAATTTTATGATTTGAAAATATTCTACTATCATTTACATTTAATGAGCAGTGCATGGGACATAGCAAAATAACACACATCCTCTTACACAAAACTAAAAAAAAAAATCTAGAAAATGTATCTAAAGAGCCAAGTAATGCTTTTGTTATGAATATAAAAACGTAGCCTAATACACCCTTTCATAGTCATTTTTATGTTTTTTTTTTAAGTTATCATGGCAAATTAGTTATTTATGTACAGGACGCGAAAAGGCACCCTACAGTGATACTGACCCTAGTAGTAATTTTGGTGTTTTTTTTTATTTTTATTATTCTTATCTCACTTTTAGTTTTAGTAATTTTACTACAACAAATGCTGCCTTGCCAAGAACTGAATTAAAATAACTTGACGTTTTATTTATTTTTATTTAATGTTTCTTTTATGGAAATTAACAAATCGTTTTTAATTTTGCTGTTTCTTTTGGTTGTGGGTAACAAAAACTCTCAAATGCTTTTTTAGAACATATTTTATGAGCTTCTTTGGATTTATGTACGTTTTGTTTCATGTTTACGTTTACGCGTCTGTTAGATTTATTTTTCAGTTTATTAAAATAGCCTATGTAGCGCACTAAGAATGTGTCGGATATCTAACGCCCTCTAGAGGACAAAACCGGTGTATTTAAAAAAATCTGCCATCGTGCGTTTTCATTGGCTCCACTAAACCTAAACGTCAGCACTTGAGGGCGGAAAACAGAACGGTGCTGGCGAATGATTTCGCGTATGCAAATCCGTTTCAAATATTTCCCGGGAAATCTGAGTTTCGCGGGAGGACCTTTCGCGCGTAAACCTCATCCCCTACTTCATTGTCCGCTTCCTGGAGCCATTTTTCGCTCTAGCGAGAGGGAGTTTGCATCGCATTTTAATCGCTTACATCGGGTGTCTTAGGCTTTAGCAATTTCACTCATATTACAGCAATGCGTTCCTAACACTGTGCGCGTTAATCATTTATGATTATTTTATATCCACTCGCTCGGATTAGAGAGAAAACGAGCCTCAAAGCACAAGTGGGACAAAGGGAACCTGCGCCTCTGAGGATCATGAGAAAGGGATGTTCCTCGGTCCCAGGACAAGTAATGTTAACAGGGGTTGTTAGAGGTGAACAACACGGTGTTTTTAGTGCGGTTTCCGATCGACGGTGTGCAGTTTATTCCAGTGCAGCCCGTATACAAATAAACACACCGCCGTCCACTAATAATGTCTGTGTGCCCGAGGCTTCTGCGGACAGTTTGTACACAACTCCTCTACAAGGAGCGACACATGGGACAGGACTGCGACCCACACTAGGACGACCACCGGTAAGTGTCTGCTATAATCATGTGTTTAAGTGTTGCACATTCAATCCTGTAAATGGTAAGTCGTTAGGCTAAGTCCACTTAGCCTACTTCTGCTGTCATCATGGCTACTGCTGGAGCTGCTTCATGTGCATTCAGTATCTGGAGTAGGCAGGTTTATTGTGCAAAACGAATCAGCGCGTTTTAGATACTTAACTGATTAAGACCTTTATTGAATGTCCCCCAAAAATGCGTAATGACGCATGACTGTTTACCACAAACAGACATGCATATTTCCGCAATGTAGTCCCTGCTGTTTTTACGATTTAGCTTTAACTGAATTAGACAATACGACTGTAACTGTATGAGACAAGATGCTTTAATGCATTGTTGATTTTAAACTAAAAATAACAATAGTGTAGTATTTGTAACTCGGTTGGTTGTCCAGTTGCACGCCTTTTAAAGTTTTCTTCGAAAGCTCGAGGGTTGCTGCGGTAAATCGCTTTATATAGGTCCGATATCGATAATATGAAGTGTACTATCGATTAGATATGGTCGAATATAAGTCTAAGAGTCTGCGTAACTTGCAAAAGCTTGAATTAGTGGAGTCTAGGCCCTGGTTTGTTGTCTTAGGATGGGGGATGGAGTCCTTTCTGAGCTCGCGGACTCTGTGCTAAGCCAAATGCTTTGCTAACTTGTTTTTATCGTTATTTACTGCTAAAACTCCTGACTGGCATCTCTTTAGGAAATAGTTTGGCATACGTGAGGTCGATGGTTTTCATATTCCCCAAACTTAAACGGCTTATCAAGAGATCAAACTTTTGTTTTGTTTTATAGGGTTCAGGACACGAAACAATACAGCAATTATAACTACTTCAGGCTTAACAAATTTAGATGGTTTCAATTTAAGTGAATTGCAAGTGAAAAAAAAAAAACACATGGGTAGGAAAAGCAGATGGGGATGAATGAGGGAATAACAATAAAGCTAATAAAATGTCATACAAGATTAATTCAGATTATGTTGTGAATATTAATCATAAAACCATAAAATTGTGAGGCTAAATATACAACTATGAGCATTCTAATGTTAATGTAATGATGTAAAAAAAAGTTGCTCATTTTGAGACTGTTTAAAAAATATATGAAATTTAGGCTTACAATTTGTTTGTTGGTGTTATTTTTTTTCCCCTGCAAAATGTGAAGGTTTACAAAAATCTATTATCTCATTTGTATAGAGACGTAGCAAGTTATAACTTGACATGTAGGACCTTAAATTCAACAAATCTGATTTTATCAAACTTTGATAAAACGTTTATAAAGAACGTTCTTTTTTTTTTTTTTACCCCAAATACAAAAATATGCATTTTATCTATACATTTACACAAGCTGCAATGCATGTATGCATTTTTGCAGCACTTTAAAAGGGCACTTCCTATGACATCAAACTGTGTTTCCTATTTAACATATTATGATGACGGCAGTGTTTTTGCAACATGCAAAACGCAAAAAATAGATCTCGACTGCATCTATAATTATCTCGGGGGTCAATGGCACTTTAAGTTTCTCAGTGGTCACTGAGTTTAAGGCTTTGGTAATGGAGGACTGCCATTTTGCTTCCCCCTGCTCCAAGTGTGTTGACTTAAGTGGTGTATTATTAGGTAAAACTAATATCTGCTGCTTTTTGCGAGAGATGAATCCTGAATGGTTGGCAAAATATTGCACTTTTAGGCACTTACAAGGTGTTACTCTTGATAAATGTACTTTTTAATGGCCACAGACAATATATTGGCAGAATTTGTGATTTATTACCCAATAATGTTGCCAACTCTTCCAAATAACGTAAGTGTTGGGTTCAATCCACTCAGACATTTCTTTGAATAATGCACGCATTCTGTTCTTAAAATGAGGACATTGACTAGCTAAATATTGCATAAAATTGGATTTTTAGCTTTTCTGTGCATTTCAATTGTGTAGTGCTTATACTGTATATGTAATCTAGTAACCCTGAAAGATTGGGTCACCTTTCATATTTTATTTTCTTGAAACAGGCTAAAAGGAGACTGGAGCTGGACATCACAGACCACCAATACAGCGAGCCAGCTAAAACCCTTCGGAGTCGCAAAGGAGCTCTTAAACTGAAGGTCCCCAAAGGTATAAAGTTCATTCTGTCGTTCCACGGTTTTGCTGATGTGATAACCATGTAGAGCCACCTAATATTAAGTTATACCATATAATTACATCACCAACCAACCCTTCTTCATTCTGCTGCAGAGTTATGAATGATTAAATGGCCTCTTACATTTCAGCTCCCAAAACCCCACCGGAGAAGACCCGATACGACACATCCTTGGGATTCTTGACTAAAAAGTTCTGTCAACTGCTTGCGCAGTCCTCCGATGGAGTGCTGGATCTCAATAAAGCCGCCATTGTGCTCAACGTCCAGAAGAGACGTCTGTATGACATTACCAACGTGCTGGAGGGGGTGCGCCTCATCAAGAAGAAGTCAAAGAACAACATACAATGGCTGTGAGTTACTTAAAAGTGTGGTTTGCGTTAAGCAACGCTGATTATTTTGGACGTTTAGTATATTTGAGCTCCTAGTTTAGATTTAAAGAGTTTTAAGAGTTGACTTTTTTTTCTTTGCTGTTTGCAGGGGCACCAGTTTGCCGTCAGAGGGTGGGCTTCCATCTCCAGCCGTGCAGAGTCACAGCCTGGCCAGAGAGATGCTGGCACTCAGTCAGGAGGAGAGACGCCTGGATGAGCTCATTCAGACCTGCACGCGTAATGTCCAGCAGATGACTGAGGAGATACACAGTCAGAAATATCCTTTATTAGCACTTTCTCAAGTGTGTAATGGCCACTGAAGATCAGAAAACGAGAGCACTGGAAGGAAAGAAAGTAATTCCCTGTTTTGTCCTTAACCTTTCTCACATATGCTTATGTGACCTATCAGGACATCCGAAGAATAAAGAGCCTAAAAGACCAAACCGTCATAGCGGTTAAAGCTCCATCTGAAACCAAGTTGGAGGTGCCTGACCCAAAGGAGGTAAACAATTTTTAGTTTTAGTTTATGCATATTAAAGGGGTGGTTGATTGCGATTTCACTTTTTTAACGTTACTTAGTGTGTAATGTTGCTGTTTGAGCATAAACAATATCTGCAAAGTTACGAAGCTGAAAGTTCAATGCAAACGGAGCTAAAATAAAAACGTCTTTTAAAATTCTGGCAGTTTGATGCCTACAAAAACGTCTCGTAGGGAATACAACGAGTTACTTCCCAGGTTTGTGACATCACAAACCCAGATAAACCCCGCCCCCAGGAACATGCAACAAAGGGGGCGAGGCCATGTTGTGCTGCTTTAGAGAAGAGGAAGAGTTGTTGCCGTGCCGTTAAAACTAGGGTTGCACGAGAACATCTATT